GGAAAGAAATCTTCCTACAATTAAGTAATTCATATAATTATGGAATAAACATAAATATATATTATTAAGGAATTACCCTTTTTATACTATGACTAAATATAACAAGTACTAAATAGAATTAAAGTAAATAATAATAAGGAGTGTAATTCCACACTCCTTCTCAAGGTGGGTTATACAGATTGTACATGCCCAACTTATTGGTTAGCTCATCAAAACTGAACTTAGGGAGAGCCTTGGTGAGAATGTCTGCGGTTTGGTCTCTAGAAGGAGTATAGACCAATTCAATGATTTCATTGTCCACCTTCTCTGAAATGAAGTTTCGATCAATCTCAATGTGTTTCGTTCGGTCATGATGAACATGATTCTTTGCGATACTGATTGCAGCTTCATTGTCACATAACATCTTGATAGAATACATACGAGCAATACCCAGAGGTTGATCGTCGGGTGGATATATCTCCTGCCCAGTCAGCATCAGTAAAGACTTCTACCTTTTGACTATCATTCCTTTTGAATAATAATCCTTTCCCAGGTGTCATCTTTAAGTATCTTAAGATACGGTTGACAGCTCCCATATGTTCCTCAGTAGGACAGTTGATGAATTGACTTACTATACTTACTGAAAAACTTATGTCTGGTCTGGTGTGGGATAAATAAATAAGTCTTCCAACAAGCCGCTGATATCGTCCTTTATCGACAGGTAAACTATCATTCTCCATTCCAATCTTTTTATACGGGTCTATTTGAGTATCTATTAGTTTGCATCTAAGCATACCAGTTTCTTTTAATAGATCCAATGTATACTTCCTTTGAGTTACGGCTATCCCCATTTTGGATCTTGCAACTTCCATTCCCAAGAAGAACTTCAAGTCTCTGAGGTTCTTGATTTCGAATTCATGGGCTAGAAACTTCTTCAGCTTTGTCAATTCTTCAGTGTGATCACTGGTAAGAATGATGTCATCAACATACACAATAAGTACAACAATCTTCTTCTCGGATCTTTTTTGTGAACATTCTATGATCAGCCTGACTTTAAGTATAACCGCACTTGATTACTGAATTGGTGAATCTGACAAACCAAGCACGAGGAGATTGTTTGAGACCATACAGAGATTTCTGGAGCTTGCATACTTTGCCACTAGGGAAGGACCCTTCAAGACCAGGTGGTAAATCCATGTATACATCCTCTTCAAGATCTCCATTAAGGAATGCATTTTTGACATCAAGTTGCATAAGGGGCCAGTTTTGATTTGCTGCAATGGAGAGTAGGATTTTAATGGAGTTCAGTTTGGCTACTGGGGCAAACGTCTCTTGGTAGTTAATTTCGTATGACTGAGTATAACCTTTTGCAACCAGTCGGGCTTTTAACCGATCTATGCTTCTGTCTGCCTTACATTTGATTGTAAATAACTGTCTGCATCCTACTGGTCTCGTATCCTTGGGCAAATCAGACACAATCCACGTTCCACTCTTTTCTAGTGCAGCAACTTCTTCATTCACAACTTTTCTCCATTACGGGTGTGAGAGAGCTTCCTGAATAGAATTCAGAACCTTTATGCTGTCAATAGCAGTTACAAATGCATGATAGGGATGAGATAACCTCTCATATGAAACAAATCGGGCAATAGGATGTTGAGTGCAAGGAACATCAGAATCATCTTTCACAGGCGGGGTAAGCTCATAATCACTAGTGTTTATAGATTCTGTACCTGAGTGAGTTTCAGAGGATTTTGGAGTCGTATTAGATTCTTGGACAGCAGTTGGAAACGATGTTAGGTTCTCTATTCTTTCAATAGTTATGTTTCGTCTTGTATAGACCCGAAGTTCCTGAGGAGTGAGTTGTGTAGACTGAGGAGGTTGAATAGGAGAAGGTGTGGGATGTGTAGACTGAGGAGGTTGAATAGGAGATGGAGGAGGTTTGACAGTCGGTGAGGGACCCGTGTCAGTTGGTAAAGGAACACAGGGTTGTGTTCACTACGACTACTATCACATGGCTGTTGTTCACTACGACTACTCTCCCTCTGCATGATAGACCCTTGATAGTATAATTGATGCTAAAAAAAGGTGACATCCATAGAATTATAGACCTTTTTAGTTGAAAGACCTTTACACTTGTAGCCTTTCTTGTTGGTCGAATACCCTATGAATATGCATTTGACAGATTTGAGGTCTAATTTATTGCGGTGTTGTTTGTGAATATAAACAAAGACAGAGCAAACAAATAATTTGGTAGGGACAACTGAAGAGAGTGTACAAGTATTTGGAAAGGAGCGAAGGAGGACATCAATTAGACTACAGAAACCCAGAATACGAGAGGGCATCCGATTTATGAGGTAGGCATCAGTCAATGTTGCCTCGCCCAATAACATTTAGGGACCGATATGGTAAACATGAGACAGCAGGCTACCTCCAACAAGTGATTGGGGAGTATCAACACACGTGCTAAAGTGAAGGATGTCATGTTGAGTAAGAAAAGTTCCTAGGGATGTGTTGAAAAAATCTCGTGCATTATTTGTTTTGAGAGCCTGGATTTTTGTGTCAAATTGAGTGAGTATCATTTAATAGAATGCACGAAATATTGGTCCTACCTCTGATTTGTCATGCATAAGATAGATCCATGTCACCCGTGTGTGATCATCAATAAAGAACACGAACCATTGGGCCCCAGAAATATTTTTTTCACGAGGACCCCAGACATCACTATGGATCAGAGAAAATGGATGAGTGAGTTTGTATGATAATCAAGGAAATGAAGTGTGAGTATGTTTAGCAAGTTGACAAAATTCGCAATTAAAAGAGGTAGGACTTTTATTAATAAATAAATGAGAAAACAGTTTCCCCATGTACATAGAATTGAGATGACCTGAACGATAATGAAGTAACATGATTTCGCTATCATTATTAACGCTGGAATGGAATACATATGTACTAAGCGGATTTAAGCAAGACAGACTTGATACTGGAATACAACCGGTGGGTGAGACTAGACTGACAGAGGGTTTGTTGAGGAGATAGAGACCACTGCGCAACTCAGCACTGTCAATCATCCTCCCCGACTTCAAATCCTGAAATTCACAAACGTATGGAAAAAATTTAGCAACACAATGACAATCATGAGTGAGCTTACTAATAGAGATCAGATTGCAATCCAAAGTAGGAACATGAAGCACAGAAGTGAGGAATAAATTTGGAGAGATGCGGACAGAACCAAGACCAACAACTTTGGAGGCTGATCCATCAGTAATCTGAACAGTGAGGGTCGGATTACACGGCCGGTAATCCATTAATAAGGAGACATCCCCGGTCATATGATCGGAGGCACCTGAGTCAACAATCCAGGGGCGAGAAGAGGTTGAATCCAAGACGAAAGCGGATGGGAAAATACCTTGATAGGTAACAAGGCCGGTGGCACCCGATGCCACACTAGTAGGCTGGACTGGCGACAACTGATCGAGCATCTTCTGGAGGGCATGAATCTGTTCTTTAGCTGAATGGGCTCATTCCTGGAGAGGCTTTGGTGGTGCTGGTGGCAGCTGCCCGATGATCGGTTTGTCATGAAGTCGCCAACACATATCCCAAGTATGGTCAGAACGGCGGCAGTGGTCACACCAAGGGCGGCCCTGACGTTAACGGTTGCCTGTGGATGAAATATGAGCAGCAAGTGCAGACCCGTCGAGGGCTGTAGTGGACAAGGAAGCACCTAACATGACATTTTGGCGACTCTCTTCGCGGCGTATATCAGAGAAAGCTTCACGAATTGTTAGAAGATGTTTTGAATTCAAAATCTGTGAGTGAGTCTGGTCAAACTCAGATTTAAGGCCAAGAAGAAATTTGAAGGTGCGTTTCTGTTCTATGATTTGGTGAAAATATGACAGAGTCTTCGGGACACTTCCAAGGGTACACCTCGAATAGGTCTAGTTGCTGCCAATACCGAGTAAGAGTATTGAAGTATTGGGTGATGGAGAGATCACCTTGACGAAAGTCATGAAGAATGGTCTCAACAGCAAATAGTTCGCTTATATTGTCCGCACTAGAATAGGTCTCACGGGCAGCATCCTAGATTTCCTTAGTTGTGTCATAGAGAAGAAAATTTTCGTCAATATCAAGTGTCATCGATCTAACAAGCCAGGCCATAACCATATTATTCTCGGATTTCCAAGTCTTGTATGACGGATCTGTCGTCATCGGAGTTGGAGTATCACCAGTGAGGTAGTCATCTTTGCATTTGTCGCATACAAACATCATGACTGATTGTGACCATTGGAGGTAATTCTGACCGGTGAGTTTGTGGCTGGTGATGAGGACGGAATTATTGTTTGAATTGTTGTGCAATGGAGACTCAGCCGCGGAGGGGTGGCTAGAAGTGACATCACTAGTGGAGGAGTTGCAGACATTGTCGTACTTAGTCATTGGAGATGAGAGGTGGCCAGCATGATGAGCTGACTGTGCTCGATAGCGGAAGAAGAGTCGGCACTCACAATCGGACGCGAACAGTCGCGAGAAATCGCGGGAGAAGCGAGAGATCGTGGGATTGCGGGAGAGCACGGATGATCCCGGGAGAGCACGGACAATCGCGGGAGAACGCGGGATCGCGGGAGATCGCGGGATCGTGGAAGAGCACGGACGATCGCGGGAGAAGCGCGGACGATCCCGGGAGAAGCACGAACAATCGGACGTGGACGCGGACAATCGGAGAGAGGCGCGATCGGTCGATTGGACGAAGAGCGGCGCTCGGATGCAGACGATCGGGGCAGGCGCAAATTAGGGCAGCGCTCGGACAAGGACGATCGCGAGAGAGAAGGGCCGGGATCGAGCCAA